CTGCCAAGTCGACGGCGACCAGCCGCTGCTCGGCGAGGTCCTTCCTTCGACTCGCTTCGACGAGACCCCGCCCCTTGCCAGCCGTCTGCCACCGCGCCCATGAAAGAGCTTTCCCGCTACAAGCCGAGACTTGACGCCGTAGGACGTCGCCTTGGGTTTGGGCCAGCTGCACTGGGATCGCGTCGCGGATTGTCTCAAAAAGGTGCGTTAAAAAAGAAAATCCACGTCCCCACGTTGCGGAACAAAAGGTGGAAGAGGAGGCCCTCCTCCACATGGCCATGCAAATGACGGTGCCAAGCAGCCAAAAAGCTGCCTAAGGCACCAGCAGCAAGAGGAACGATCGGCTGTACGAGGCGCAGCCAGGTCCAAACATCGTGCCGATCAGGAACGTGGCGATGTGGATCGTAAATGTAGCCGCGACGGCGATGCTGTCAGTCACATGCCGCCACTGTCCGTGAAAGTCATTGCGCAAAGGCTCAGCAGCAACAAAGGATGACCCTGTGGATCAAGCAGCGAGGGATTCGGTAAGAAGATCCACCAAATCATGTAGTACAGCACAAAATGGGTGGCACGCTGTCGACCGTCCTCGCCATCACGGAGGTGCCAGGATCCCCACGACTTCATCAGCAACTCTTGGCGCCCCTCTCGGATCCGCGGCCTTCGTGCGACAGCAACTGCAGGAAAAGCGTCGCCAGCAAGACACCCTGCTGCAGCGCATCCCCGCCCTACCCGACTTGCAGTCGGCCTGGCTACTCCTGCTGTTCTGCGCTTCCCCCGCAGCAAATTATCTTCTGCGCGTGCCCCCCCCTGACTCCACCGCGGAGTACGCTCGGGAGCCTGTTAAGGCCTGTCTCAGCACGCTGCTTTACGGAGACGCAGCCTCGCCGCTGCCGGCCACAGCTGCTTCGGCAGCGCACCTGCCGCTGGGCTACGGAGGGCTTGGGCTGCGGTCTGCAGCCGCCGGAGCGCAGGCCGCCTACTGGGCCTCTTGGCATGACTCCCTGCCCGCGCTGCTTGCGCGCCTCCCCGCCGAAGCCGAGCAGCTCCTCGCCAGCTTGTACTCCCCACATGCCGGCATGGCCCTGCCCTAGCAGCTGCGTGCTCCGCTGCCGCTGGCGTCCGACAGGCAAGCTTCCCCACTCAGCCGCTCCGGCCCCACAGCAAGCCCAAGCCGCAGAGGGAACCTTACGTGGCTGGCAACGCGCGGCCGCTTCCGCTTGTGATGAGCGCGCCTTCGAGACGCACCTTTCTCACCTCGACCCCGCGTCTCGCGCGCTGCTGCTCTCGCAAGCAGGACCTCACGCAGCCCGTGCCTTCACCGCGTTCCCGACGTCCCCAGCAGTCTTCGTGCCATCGGCGCACCTCCGCGTCCTGCTCCTCCGACGCCTCCGGCTACCCCTTCCTTGCACTCCACGCACATGCTCCTATTGCTCCTGCCGCGGACGCCTGGACCAACTCGGCGACCACCGCTCGGCCTGTGCCACGTCCGGCTTCTTTGAATCCCGAGCTTTTCCGCTGGAGCATGCGGTTGGACGCGTCTGCCGCGAGGCTGGAGCGCAGGTAGCGCGGAACGTTCGGGTTGCTGACATGAACATCGACGTGCCTGTCAGCGATGCACGTCGCATTGAGGTAGTCGCCAATGGCTTACCAATCTGGCACGGCGCCCAGCTCGCGATCGATGCCACGATCGTCAGCCCGGTCACCCGAACCCTCTCTGCACTTCCTGGCGCGGACACCCCCGCAGCCGCCGTGCAGGATGCGGCCAGACGCAAACGGCGCGCACCCCGAGCTTCAGGGCGCCAGACGTGCGCGGCTCGTCGTCGTCGGGATCGAGGTTGGGGGGCGCTTCAGCACCGAAGCAGCCTCCTTCCTGCGCCTCTTGGCACAGCACCGTGCCGCCGGCGTCGCAGCACCGCCACGCGCGGCTGCGCGAGCTGGCTGGGTGCAGAGGTGGTCCGGAATGCTCGCTGTTGCTGCGATGCGTGCTTACCCCGCCTCCCTGCTCGAGCTTCCGCCCGCCGCTGAGGCATGTATCGCGCGTGAGGCGCCAGAACTGCACGAAGTCCTTGCGGACGTGCGGGGCAGCCTCCCACCGGCAACCAGTCGCCAACTCAAGGCGAACTCTGCCACATGCTTGGGCGATTGCATCGAAACGTTTATCGTTTTGTCTGAGATTCTACTACGGCATACCAGAACTCCAAACACTCGAAGCATCCACATCCTGAAACTGCACAAGAGCATCTGCTAGAGGGGTTAAATGGCGAAAGAAAAAATGTGCTGCAGTTTCCTGGCATGAACGAAGCATGGGCCGCCAGCAGCTCAGAAGGGGCTTCGTGCAACTCTGCAGGGTCCCGTTTTAGGTTTGGGGTTTAGGGGTTCAAGGTCCTTGTACGCAGACGTAAAGTCTTTATTGGGATCCCGTGTTTTTCTGAAACTCCCAAATCATAACTCCCAAGAGAAACGAAAGCTTCCAAAAGCTTCTCATGAGGATGTTTGATATTGAAGGATCGATACTCTTTTTTTTTTCAGCAGCAACGAGTTCAACAGAGTCCACGGCAGCGTTTCAGGCGGCGTGTAAAGCGGGCGCCGGCAAGCGGCTATTTAACATGTTCCGGCCAAGTTTTGTGCACATACCTTCACGAGGCAGTTCTTGCATATTTCTGCTAGATGACAAGGAGGAAGGTGTGCAGTGTTGCGGGCAGCGCTTTGGCTCGCTGCTCCGAGACCTATCTACCAGATGCTCTGTGCAGTTTCAGGATGTGGAAGCTTCGAGTGTTTGGAGTTCTGGTATGCCGTAGTGGAGTCTCAGACAAAACGATAAATTGCCTGTTTGCTCATCGCGGGATTCTCAGACGCCTGAAACCTTTGGTGTCATGGAATGGCATTTTCTCGAATGCATCAGACATTTCACGCAGAAGTTTCGAGGCGTTCACTTACTGTAGTAGGCAGCATGTGGCAGAGTTTGTGGGCTTTGGGACTGATTCGCTTATCCGCCGTGAATTCTTTGTCAGCTGGCCCGGCGGCAAGTAATGCCAGTTTTGGACCTTTCCCGCAAGCGCAGGGGGCTGCTTGTTGATGAATCTGCCCTGATGCTTAGTAGTTTCTCGACATTGACGCTTCCTGCCAATGTGTCTTCGAGTGGCCTAGAAGCATCCCCAATCTGAGATAAACGTTGAGAGGTGTTCACATAGCATCCGGCAGAGTTCGCTTGGGGAAGGCGAAGTCTTGACTAGTTTGTCGGTCCCTTGCTTTCCAATTTAACTTGTTCCGACTCGTGGGCATCATGTCTTCGCGAGGTTATTCTGCCACCTCTCTGCCAGATGGTGCGCATGGCTCGTTATTGCGGTTGTCGGAGTTTGAAGACTGGTCACCAGGCCGACTAGTGACTGGTGCATTTCGCATCTGGCAGAGTTCGTCCTGAGAGGGGAAGGAGAGATCGGCAAGCTCCAGAGCCACGATCTGTCTGGCATTTTCAAAATAAGCGCCCAACTTATGGAGCTCCGCCACCGTGACAAGTAACTGCAAGATCTCTCTGTGATCTTGCAATCCCACCTCGCCCGAGTGACCCCTGACAAGCTCTTTGGTAACGGTCAGTTGAAGCCAGAGACAAAGCTTACAAGAAAGCTAAAATAGGAAAGGCCAAGGCATCCAAGAAGGAAAAGAAGAGAGCCTCTCTGTGTCTCTCGCTCTCTCTCTCTCTCTCTCGCTCGCTCTCTCGCTCTCTCTCTCTCTCTCTCTCTCTCTCTCTCTCTCTCGATGCTCAAACATGCGAAGACCTCTTTGCGTGGCCCCGTTGGGCGACCTAGATAGGCTGGCTATCTCAGTGGAAGGCTGAACCAGGGCAATAAGCGACAGATGAGCTGGAGCTTTAAGCTGCAGAAACATACATTATCAATGGTCGTAGAACCTCACCAGGACCGTTAGTCCCTTTGAGCAGCGAGCCTTGGCGACTGTACATTACGAAGCCGTACAAAACCGGCCATTTCGCGAACTACCGGCAACGTTCAGATGACCCGATAGCCCCGTATACAGAAACATGATCACTCTAACATTGAAGCTCCACTTGCAGGACGACGACGACGACTATTACTGCTGCTACTAGCAGTCGCAGGGTAGGCCCGATAATCATGCAGGGCATCCACGAGTCGGGCATTGAGAAGCTATTCAATACATTTGTGAAGAAATATTTATAATAGACTAATAATTACGTCTGGAGTTGTCGAGCTGTGGAATCCGTCCATGGTCCCAAAAACCACAGTAAAACTGACTGTAAGAACACATCGGCTGTCGAGATTCTACTCATGTGGTCGGCCAGCTGGACTTTTGCCGTCTTGGGAACGGCCTCCGTACACTTTTTGCTTCTGGCACTGAGAGGTGTCGCTCCTGCAAGAGCTGCTTGGTGCTGGCCAACCAAAGCTCCTCGTTGCCTGCTTCCGGACGTTCTGGGTGGGGCATGCTTCCGTAACGAGACGGAAGTTTTGGAGCTCCTCCCAGGTGAGAGCTGTTATCCGAGCTGTGCTAAGGGGGTTCTGGCCGGATCGTGCACAGAGCTGAGATGTCCGCCATCCGGACCTGGGCCCACCTGCCTTGATGACCTCACAGCTGACACGTGGTGGACGCCGTGCGGTTACGGGTCGGAATGTCAGAATGTGCTCGAGCTGGGCAGCCCGAGATGGCGTGCGTTTGGCCACTACAGCTGCGAAGCTACAGGAGCTGGCGGATCTTCGGCTTGTGAGTCTATTGCCGAAGTAAGACTCCCACAAAGGGCTTCGTCACTGCAAAGCCTGGACATGTGGACTGCTGTCTCCTTTGGCGTGCTGGCAGTGCTTGCGAGGTTCAGCCGCTTGATCTCTGCGTGTGTGTCCTACAATTGGTGTGGGGGCGGTGTCGCACGTTTCGTTTATAGCCAGCCTTTCCGGCAGTGGTCCTTGGTCAACATCCTTGGGGTGCTTTGCCTTTCTGTCATGTGCCTTTCGTTGTTCCTGCTACCTTTCCCACGGAAGTCCAGCGGCATCGCAGCTGGGCTCAGCGCACTCATAACCGTGAGTTGGGCTTTCTCGAGGGCTGGAATCCACAGCTATGTTTTGATGAGACGCGAGGCGGCTTGGCGCATACACTACATCTGCGGAGCTCTGACTATCGGGATCTCGAGCGTCCACGGGTCACTCAACGTGGCAGAGAATGGCATCCTTCGGGTTTTGTCCAATCCCTACTGGTTCTGTGGGCTTGCAAGTCTCCTCGCCATGATCATGGCGGTTCTACCAGCCAGGCTTCTCAGGCTGCCATACGACCGATTCAAGCAGCTACATTTCCTGAGCGTTGCCGGGTACTTCTTCGCCCTGGCACACATGCTGGGCCATGCCGTGCAGCTGCAGACGATTGCGTCGGTCTCGATGGCAACGTTGAGTGCTTCACTTTTGTGTTTGTATGGGCTTCAGAAGTTGTATGTTCGCATGTCAACGTATCATGCGGAAGTCCGATCTGCAAGCGTCGTGTCCGATGGATCTGGCAAGCATCTCTTTCTATCTCTGGCCGTGGCAGGTTTCTCCTTCAAGGCTGGACAGTGGGGTCACCTCCTTGCAGAGCAAATCTCTTCAGTTCCTCACCCCTTCACCTTGGTACCTGGAGAAGGACACGGGGAGCTGCAAATCTTCATGAAGGTCCACAGCGGCCTCACAGACAAGCTTGCCAAAGCTTGCCAGCGTGGCCTGGAGCTGCGACTAAAGCTGCAAGGACCCTACGGGCTGCCTCCGTGGCCCTTGCCGGGAGTTGCTCGAATGGTCTTCGTGCTCGGTGGGGTCGGAGTCACACCCGCTTTGTCCTTGGCACCAGTACAGGTAGCAGCTCAGACAGTTCAGAAGGTGTGTATCTTCTGGTCCTTGAAGAGCCTGGCCCTCTTGGAAAAGGTGGCGCCGCTGCTGGAGCCCCACCTGGACCCAAGAAGTTCTGTGCAAATCGCGCCAGCCGGCGAAGCCAGCGATCGGCCACTCCCCCTAAAGGCCCATCGCAACAGGATGGACGCCGGTGACTGGCTCGTGAAATTGAGCGAGACTTTTCCAGAAGAAGGCGTCTCTCAATGTCAAGTCATGGTCTTTGTCTGTGGTCCGCCGCGGCTGGTTGCCGCCACGAAAGCAGCAGCTGGCAGGCTTGCGTGGCACGTTCACGTTGAGGAGTTCGCTTTCCTACCGTCCAGCTGTGGAAGCTCTGATTCCTCCATGGTCCAGACCCAGGTGCTCCCAGCTGTCCTCGCTGTAGTATCTCTAAGAATCCATCTTAAAGCATGCATTATGTACTGCACGCTAGACCGCTAGACTCCCAGTCCCTGACTCGCAGGAGCCGCAGGTCCTCGGCAGACGGGCACCGGCTCCGGTTCCACCGGAGCCGGAGCGCGTGCCCGAGTGGCCTCGGGCGGAGGAGCTCTTCGAGGGAAACAGGGCTGGGAGCAGGAGCCGCTGTGGCTCCTGCCTGCCGGGGCTTGCATCACTGCTAAACTGAGACTGGTTGGGAGGCTCCTCAGTGCTCCTTCCGGTTGCATCAAATTAGAGGCGGACTACACTTCTTGGATTTTTGCTAGACTTAGGAAGAAAACCCTGATTTGCCGCTGAATTCGTGGTCAGCTGGCCCGGCGGCAAGTAATGCCAGTTTTGGACCTTTCCCGCAAGCGCAGGGGGCTGCTTGTTGATGAATCTGCCTTGATGCTTAGTAGCTTCTGGACGTTGACGCTTCAAGCCAATGGAGTCTTCGAGTGGCGTAGAAGCATCCCCAATCTGAGAAAAACGCTGAGAGGTGTTCACATAGCATCCGGCAGAGTTCGCCTGGAGAAGGCGAAGTCTTGACTAGTTCGTTGGTCCCTTGCTTCAGTTCCAATTTAACTAGCTCCGACTCGTGGGCATCATTATGCTGCCACCTCTCTGCCAGATGGTGTGAATGGTTTGTGGGAGTTTGAAGACTGGTCACCAGGCCAAGTAGTGACAAGTGCATGTCACATCTGGCAGAGTTCGTCCTGAGAGGGGCGATGGTTTGACTTTTGAGTCTTTCACAGTCTCTCTGAAGGAGAGATCGGCAAGCTCCAGAGCCATGATCTGTCTGACAGTTCCGAAATAAGCGCCCAACTTGTGCAGCTCCACCACCACGACATACTTCTCAGTCAGCAGCCTCAAGCCCGCTTGTCCCGCCTTGCAGCTTGGGTTAGGCAGCTCTTGAAGCAGAAACGTGCGCGCTCGACACTGCCTTGATTTTTCTGGTTAAGGCTGTAGGAAGCTTCCGGAGCATGACCGAGGCAGTGCCGGCTCCCAGCTTGGCCGCCGTGGCTGGAAACCGCTTGGATGCAGCTCAGAGGCCCGGGAGCCGTCGAGCGAAACGGTGTTTGCAGCTGCTCCTCCCATCAGTCATCTCCGCTTCTTCACTCCTTTCCGAATTTCTATCTCACACATCCGGTCCCCAATCCCTCGACCTTGCTTTTGTCGCACGTGTCTCCTAATCCCGACAAGTGTTCCGCTGCAGGCCGCGGCTCGCATCACTGCTAAACTGCGACTGGTTTGGAGGCTCCTCAGTGCTCCTTCCGGTTTTCTCTAAGTGGTACATCAGTATTACACTGTGCCACGCTGTACGACTGCAGCGTAGCTTGCCTAAAACAATTCTGCATTCTAGATGTCGTTTGCCGACACGAAGACGGCCAGGCACCGCCATCGACGCGGATTAGCAAATCATAATATTCCTCTGTCGCATTCAGTGAGGATCCAGATGGCAGATCCTGCTCAATGGCAGATGCTCCTTATGGATACTTTCATCTGTCTGGGTACTGCCTTTTTTTGTAGTTAATGCTTTGCAGCATACTTCTAGCGACATCGTTTGCTTGTAGTATGCTTGCAGCAAGCGTCTAGCTTGTTACAATCTGCTTACAATATGGACTTGCCAGGGAGCAAGGAAGACCCTCCGTGCGAGGTCGAAATAGCTCTCGGGCAAGAGGAGATTTTGCCGTGCTGTGCTTGTGCTATACGATACTGCATAACATTCTTTACACAACACAAGTTTAGACAAGATGACATTGCGTTGAATTAGGGCCGGACTGCACTTCTTGGATTTTGCTAGACTTACGAATAACACTATGCAGGAGGCCAAGGCTACTGCCTCCAGGACAAGCCCTCACTTGCTCAATAAGGATTCCGTAAGGCAAAAGCTTCAGCGGCGTAATGCCAACAATCGCAGATGTGCTTGCTGTGTCAGGAAGGTGGCATGCTGCGCGGCGAGTGCGCGCTCAGCGCCTCACACCTCCGTGGACGGCTGGTTTGAGGCTGCCAGCGCCGACAAATCTCTTAAATGCGATTTGCTTTGTCGACCTTTCAATTCGTTGACCCTGCTGAGAGAGAAGGAGCTACAAGCAGCTGCATGCCCGTCCCACCCATGCCGAATGCTGCCGATCAGCAATAGCAGGATTCATTCAAAATGCAGTGCTGCGCTTCGAGACAAATTCATTGACGAGGAACAGAACTCGATGTTTTGAGAATATGCTGAGTGAAGTAGCGCCACAATCTAGCATAGCTATGACGCAGGTGTGCAGTCAGCAGTACAGTAGTGTTTTTGCGAAAGCGCAAAGCATGTAGAATTGCTACGAGCCATTCCCAGCCATGCGCCTGACAGCAAGTCTATTTCGTGGCCATAAGCCTTACTGGCGGAAAATGGTCCAAAGGTATTCCTCCACATGCCAACCAGCGGATCCGACGTTGGACAAGTGCTACTGCTTGGAGCTGTTTGGATATGCCCCTGACAGCACCTTGAACAAACAAGAGCTGAAAACCGCTTATCTCAGGTTGGCGAAAGAATTGCACCCGGACGTGTCACCCAGAGGACAGGAAGATGGAGCATCATTCAAGACGTTGCAGCACTGCTACAAAGTGCTTTTGCAACAGTTGGATAGACAGAACGAACCCGAATGGCTGCGCAAGATGCGGGAAGACTATGCTACCAGCAAGGACCCTTTCCCTTGACCTGAGTCGCACGCGAGCTATGCCGCTATGCTGCTCGAGCTTGATGCAAAGAATCAGAAAACGGCAGCAAGAACAAGAACACGACATGAAAGAAGTAGTCTGCCCAAAGAAGGAGAACGAAGAGCGCGCAGGCGGCAGGATGCATCTGCAGCAGTTCTGCGGCTCTGCCTTCGTGCTGCAGTTGGGGGCAAGCGTGCATGCTTGTCCTTGCCTTGATGCGCACCTGTCTGTGGGTTTTCATAAAATCCAATTATGCAGCGTAGTTGCTTTGACACTATGCCAGAGTATACGTGCATGATTCGTGCATCTATCAGCACTAGCCACCAGTAGGACTGCGCACTGGCACTCAGCAGTTTGTGGAGTTGTTTGCCAACCTGTGTTACCACAGACAACTTGCCGCACCATTCGCGACATGGAACACATGCAGCTTTAATCTAAACCGTTTATAGACTTATAGACTATATACTCCGAATCGCCATGATTCGCATTAGTCTTCCCTTGCGGTTGGCATGCTTTGCAGTGCCTGCCCCGAGCACGGGTTGCGGGGATTGCGGCGACTCGCTTCGAGGCCTCAGGGGATTCAAACACAGAGGCTTCAGAGGTGGGGAGGTTGAGAAGAGGGGGGTGGCGAAGTTTGAAGTGCAGGTAAAGCATCCCAGACTTCCAAAACAGCGCCGCACAAAGTTTGCGGACTTGTAGTGCTGTTCAGCTATTGGGCCCGACCGTCACTGAGACGTTTGTACTCGAGACGGTCACGGGTGAAATGTGGTACCAGGACGGATGGCAAAGGCGATGAGACTGCTTGGGTTGCACCTACGGTGCACGCAAAGGGTGCACCTGGTGGAAACTTGGCTCTCGGAGCCATACAGCACCTGGAAGATGGATCAGCTTTGTTGCACGGGCAAGTGTATGATGAAGCTAGAAACGGCTGGAGCCCCGTTCTGCTGAAACGCATCGGCCTCACCGACACCTGGCAGAGCGAGGAGTTGGCTCTGGAGTTGCCTTTTGGCAAGATTGCGAAGCTAGCATTACACCGCAAACGCGGGAGTCTTGAAGAAGAGTTGCCTTCTTGGCCGGCAAACCTTCGGAGGTGCTTGGAAGCTTGGCCGTTGAAAGGCCCAGGCAGCGTGATCCTGGACCCGCACTTCTTCGTGCAGCGCGCGGCTGCCTTGGCGTTGCTTGGGCCAGGACCCGTTCTCTTCCCGAACGGAGCTGCTGCCATGGCCTTGCCCTCCCTCAGTCACTTCGATTAAAAAAGCAACAAGTAGCGCCTCGTTCTTCGGCAATTGCACGTTCCATGCACCCCTCCCCGTCAGCGAGGACAAAAAGACATGTGTTGATATGAAGACACCCGCAAAAGCAGCGATAAGGTAAGCATCGGTCAGGTTCCCATAGATACGCCTTTTTTGCGGCCTTCTAGAAGTTCCTGTTTAAGTGGGGGGGTGGGGGGGGGGGGAAACTTGCTGCTGTATCTGCTTGGTAGGGCATGAAGGAGAGTTCGTGCGTGTGTTCAAGACAGCCAGGTTGCATCCATGCTTTTGAGGAGGAGATCAATGGCCGAAGCCTACGAAGCCTCCTCTGTCCTTCCGCTGAGAATTTGGAAGAGCTCTTAAGTGAAATGCCCGCGAGTCTCAGCAGCGCGCACTTCGACGTGGCGGCTGCCCTGGGCTCCGAGAAGATGGCAGGCTTCGTCATCGTCCTCCAGGTCCCCGTCAGCCGACACTGGCAAACCTCAAATCAGGGCCCCTTAGTGTAGGTACTGTACCCGTAGAGTCAGGCACTTAAAAATCCCGTGTCAGACTTGTTTTTCCCCCAGTTTGAGGAGAAGCCTCTGGGGTTGGAGTGCGAGAGCCTTTCCTGGACCTGCGGGGCTGTGCTGCGCCGAGTTGAGCCCGGCAGTGAGGCCAGAGGGGTACGTGTGCACCAAAATACACCCTGAAGCCCTTAATTATACTTCGCAGTTTGCAGACATCTTGATTTCCTGGGAGGCTGAGAAGGCAGGGTGTCGTGTGGGTGACCTCATCGTCAAGGTTGGAGACTCTGAAGTGCTGCAGACACCCTTCGACGACATTCAGGCGCCAAATTCCTGCGACGGGCGAACTGTTTGCTTGTATTCACTGTCAAAACTGTGAGATGCTTGACCAATGCCAGATCATGTCTTGGGAAATGCAGAACCTCTAAGCATTTGCCCAGACCAGTCCATCCAGGGGAGGTTCGTGAGGGATCGACACGGGTTGTGCATCGTCCGCCGGCCTGTTGCATGATTCAAAGGGCATGTTGCCAGGTTCGCTCCACTCTCTCTCTCTCTCACTCCCTGTCTCACTCTGTCTTTTTCTTTCTCTTTCTGTGTCTCTCCTTTTCCACCAGTTTCTCACGAGGTACAAGCGCATTCGTGCCGACCCTCTTGTCTCCCACTCCCTCTCCTCCTTTTGCATCGCCTACGGGAGAACCTGCAAGTTCATAGTCTTGCCAGATCCTGCCCTTTTCCAGGACAAACTTGCTGGACCTCATCCGATCACCCTGACGCTCAGTCGGCCAAAGCTAAGTGACAAGATCTACTTGCGAGAAGTCCCAGCCGCAGATGATGCACTGTCAAGCCTTTCGAGCACGCAGCTGAGCCTGCAAGACTTGGTGCCACGCTTGAGCCAGCATTTTGGCACAAACTACTTGTACTTCTCGGAGAAGACTCCCATGCTTTTTGCTGGGGATGGAGGCACTGCATCCCATCTCCACATCGACCGAAAGCCCTTGGTGCAATTCTGCCATGTGCTGCATGGAACGAAGGTGTTTTGTGTGGCTCCGCCTCCCGGAGCCCAAAACGCGAAGACCCCAGGTCCGTCAGGTCCGGTGGTCCCTTGGGAGACCTTGGAGGCGTCTGCGTCTCACGAAGCCGTGCTCTCCACAGACATCGAACTGCCGGCAGAGGCTCGCGAGTGGCTGCAACGGAAGGATGTGAGCTTGGTGCTCCAACGGCCAGGTGATATCTTCTTGTTTCTGGGCCACTCCCTCCATGCAGGTTGCAACGGAGCATCGAAAGCATGTGTGGCTGTTTTCCATGGTGCTCAGCCGATCTCTTACATGGCGCAAGGCGCCTTCGGGCCGGCATATCAAGTGCTGGCTCGCCAAATCCTCTCGCGCTAAATCGAGAGCCCACCAAAGTGTGGCCCAACACATTCGCACGTTTGCATAGGACCAATAGGAGAAGATGACAAGGGCACCACCGGCATCGCATTTGCTGTGCTTCAAGCAGCCCAATTGTGCACAATTGCCTTCGGTTCAAGCTGGGGACTCGGCTGGGCGATCCTCCAACAGAGCTTCGGTTTTCCGGCGCAGAGCAGATGTACGGATTGCGCCTCATCAACAACAACTATGTCGCCAACGGCACGGGCAAGGCACTCGCCTCAATCTCGTGGCAGTTCGAGTTCCTGCGCGAGCCACTGTCTGTCTCTTTGCGTCGCATGTGGGGTTTTCAGTTGGTCTCCGAGCCGGCCGGTCTGCGTTTTGTTGTGCGTGCCTGTCTCCCAAGAGCCTCTGTCGGAGAGAGAGAGACAGCGAGAGAGCGGTCAGGCTATGTGGAAGAGCAGCACCGGAGCCTACCCGCATGTTGCGTGTTCGACTTGTTTAGAAAACGGGACCAACTCGTCAACGCACCACAAACTCCCTTCTCACCGCAGCGCCCGTCCTTCACTATGAATTATGGCTTGCGCAAATGCGGGTCGGAGAAACTGTCTTCGGCCAATGCCCCTGGCCCTGGCCAAGCAAAGAGAGCGAGAGGGAGAGCTCACCCTGTTGTTGGCACCGCTAGTGGAACGGAGCCCTTACGTAGTGGGGATTGGCACGCCGACCAGAGCGCTGGACGCTCGAGGGAGACGCATGAGCGTGGAGCAAGCAAGAGAGAGAGCTCCATACGCCGGAGCCCTCTACTCCTTCCTTCCGTGTGTCGCGGACGGCCCGAGTGAAGCCGGCTGAAGTTTCGTCGAGGTCGTGTGTATGTATGTACGTATACGTATGTATGTATGTATGTATGCATGCATACATGGATGGATGTATGTATGTATGTACGTATGTATGTATGTATGTATGTATGTATGTATGTATGTATGTATGTTGTGTAATGTTGTGTATATGCTTGCTTGTTCGCTTGTTTACTTGTTTGTTTGTGCTTTTGCGTGTGTGTGTGTGTGTGTGTATATGTATGTGTGGGTGGGTGTGTGCGCGTGGGTGGGTGTGGGTGTGGGTGAGGGCAGGTCGCGGGCATGTCTGATCGGCAAGCACATCAAGCCCAGCTGTTACGCTTGAAGATCCCGTGGCTTGCCGCTGAGGATGTCACCATCGTTTACGATCCCAGCTTCCGCGGTGGCAGGCCTGGGTCTGGGTGTCTACTTCAGACGGAAGAGGGCGCACCCTGGCGAGAGGCTCGGGAGCGTGAACCAGATGCAGCACTTCCCGAATCCGCAGGTCTGGAGCTTCAGAGCGACCAAAAATATGCAAAGCCATTGGTAGAAGTAGTAGATAGCTTAGTACGCGGAGTCCACAAGTTTGCACTGTTTGGGTCGTGTTGAGACAGCTTTTGGTGCGGTGTTTGTGGGCACAAGTTAGGAGATGCAGCCATAAACTGTTTGAGCCTAGCAAGTGATCAGGTCGAGAGGGCGGCGGGAGTGTTGCCAAAAGCCTTGAGGGCGGCTTGCCAGCGCAATTCTGCGTAGCACAGCAGGCAGGGCCCGTGAAGCTGCGCAAGCTTCCCGATGTAGCGGCCTGAGATCTCGGAGAGCCGGGTGTCACACCGCTCCCTGCACTCCCCGTACTGAGACCGGCCTGGATGCCCGAGATGAAGGCTACAAGCAGATTCTGAACTGTGGAAGATCGGCCGGGGTGACTGTGAAGGAGGCCAAGGCGCGCCGCCAAATTTAGTCTCTTCGCTCACAAAGGGGTCTCTTCCTGCGGTCGAAAAGTTCGGCGGAGGGCTTCAGGAGTCGCTGCGGTTGTGGCATTAGGGTGGCCCTGTCTTACGTGCCATGCAAATGGACGCTTGCTATAGCAGACTGCCAGGCCAAAATCCACGAGGGCCGAAAGTTGAGGCTGCGCTCTGGCTGTGCTTTGGCGTTTCGCGGTTATGTGCTGTGATGTGATTGTCGAAAGAGGTTTAATCGGGCTGATGCCAAGCAAACCCTTGGCACCGTCATGGCCTTGAAATCACTGCCGGCTGGGGGCTCGGACTCGCGGCGACTCGCGGCGCTTCGCGACGATCGCGGCGTCTGACTGAGGCCAGTCGAGAGCTGATCCGCGCCTCCTCGGCTCCGAGCCTGAGCCGCCTGAGCCTGCCCCCAAACAGCGACTTCAGGCACGGCCCCAAACACCCACGTTTTTGCCTTCCTGCGATGTGCATGTCGCAGCATGTCCTGACAGGACACGATGGCAGATGCCTGCATCTCTGCTGGACAATGGGAATGCCGAGGCTCCGCGCTGCACGTGTGCCCCTCTCGCCACGTTCGCACGCGTCTCTGGCAGGCAGCCATGGCCACGGACTGCGAGGCCTGCTCTGCCGCTCTGCCCATGCCGTGGGAAATCTGGAATCGTGTGAGAGGAAGCCAAGATGGAGAAGAAGAGCCTGCTCCCAACCTATTGGAGGCAGATGCTGCTTCTGTTCAGTTGTGAGGGGAGCAAAAAACCATGCGCATTTCGTAGCCAGGCCAAAAGACCCTGCTCTGGATTGGCCGGCCCCCGGATTCCTGCACCCAGTCCACGGATTCTCCAGGACCGCGGCATTTTGGGGCCGAGCTCTGTGTCCGAGTCTTTGCGCAGGACGGACGGCGGCATGCCGTGGCCAAACTGATCCGGCTCGGTCACAGCTCTGCGCACGAGGCGTCATCAAGGCCTCACAGAGGCATCAGGCGCACATGCGCAGCTCTGCGCTGGACGCAGACGTGCCGACACAGCTTGAGAAGTTGCCAGCCCTAAAAGAGCTGGCGTAGCTGGCAGACCTCTGTTGCTAGTGTACCTGCTTCTCTTCCGGCCCCCCTTTCCCCAGATTGGCTCTTAATTACCAGAGGCAGCCAATGATTCCCGTACATCAGTCAGTCCTTCCTGCGTTGCTCCAGCCATCTGCTCTCCGTGTGACCAGCACCTCGTTTCGAGCTGTGCCTAAGGCATCGCTCACAGAAGGGAGGTGGCACAGCAGAGCAGAGAGGGAACGGAAGGTCGTGAGAACGATCCATTACCCCTTGCTCGCTTCAGTGATGGATTTCTGTGGCAGGGGTCGCCTTCTTTGAGTGGCTGCCGAACTGCCCATCATGCACAGATGTGCACTTATTCAACCGGGCTGACATGCCAGTTTGGGAGACGGGGAGACAAAGGAGACAGGATGTACTGATCGCATGTCCATGATGCTCTCCCAAACAAGCAATGTGTGGGGCAGTGCCCTCTCATTGACCACATGCCATGAACCCGGCCAGCTTCATCTTAGAGAACTAGCGAGCGCTAGCATCAGCTTTGGGAAAGAGCCGCGTGCTTGTTAAATTCGGCTCTCGGACTTGCCAACACTTTTATTGAGAGGCAGAGAAACTTCAAACTCGCCCTTGGCCCGACTGCTTGGAAGTAGCGAAGATGTGAAAAGGCCAGTAGAGGTTCACTGCTAGCATCCAGCCTGCTGGGCGATGGATGGCTCGCAGATGAGTGCTGAAGTGCTTCAGCAGCTCTACCAGAACGACATGCAGCAACATCTCAGCCCTGAGATGCAGCAGCAAGTGCAGCAAGTGCAGCAGGTGCAGCACATGCAATGGCATTCGATGATGCAAGGCCAAGGCCAAAGCCAAGATGGGGCTCAGGAGGGCTGGGCCGAGGGCTACGACACCTATCCGAAGGGGGCCGGGGCCGGGGGAGCTCCTGGGGAGGAGGCCCGCCCGGAGGACGCTGAAGACGGCCAGTATCGAGACTACCAGGAGAAGTACCAGGAAGAGGACTACCAGGAGGGGGATGAGGACATGAGCGACCAGATGCACCAACAACTGCAGCAGCGAATGCAGCAGCAAATGCAGCAGCAGATGCAGCAGCAAATACAGGCAAGGATGCAGCAGCACCTGCAACAGCACATGCAGAACCAAAACCTGCAAGGTCAGAACATGCAGCAGCCGCAGCACATGCAGCATCAGCAACATCAGCAGATGCAACAGGATCAGTACAATCAGACACCCCAACCTCCAGAACCCCCCCGCCAGAACCAAAATCCTCTTACGGGAGCTCCGCCGGGCGCCCAGTGCAGTTTGAGGGCTGCTTGTCTTCAATCAGCACACCGACACCCGAGGTACACCCCCCGATTCTACTACCTCTTGGAGAAGCGGCAAAGACTGCCAGCATGGATGGCAAGACAGGACTTTCTGAAACTTATGCAATCGAACCAAGCTGCCTGGGAGCGATTGGATGGTTGTGTCGGCTTAAGGCTTAAGGGTATCCCTTCGCCTGTCAAGTCATGGCGCCACCATGCGTTAACAAGCTTCGTGGGACCTTTGAAAACAGACCTGCAAATCCCTGCGAACTGGTCCTGATAAGCCCGCACCCGCACTACCATCCGAGGTTCTCGTTCTGGTGGGCGAGCCCGGATGCGGCAAGACCACACAGTTGCCACAGATCTTGCTTGACGCCGGTTACCACGTCCAGATGGGCCAGGTTCGAGCGATTTGCTGCCGCTCGGCAAGGTTCAGCAGGGCATCTTACAGGTGCTGCTACTCCTAGTCGCGTCGCTGTCGCGTCGTAGTCGACGTGAGTTGTCAGGTGTGCAGCCGAGCCCTTTGGCGACGCTGAGCGCTTCCCTCCGAATTTGCGAAGAGCTGGAGGTGCAGGTGGGAACCTTCGTGGGACACGTCACCCGCTTCGAGGCGCGGGCGCGGGAGCGGCTAGTCAGAGACTGGAAGAGATGTTTCGAAAAAGAAAGGCTGCCCTGAAGGACCGAACGTCTGGGGACACGCTCCTGCGGTTCCTGACTGACGAAGCCCTCTTCCGGGAGGCCATGGAGGACCCACTGCTGGAGAGATACAGCGTCATCATCCTGGATGAGGCGAAGTAAAGGGCGAGGAAAGGTGAAAGCAACCATATAAAAAACGGAAGTACGCAGAACAGCTTTTTTGTTCCACGAGGTGCACCTCAGG